CTGAATTCCTAACAGTGGAAAAGGTACCAGGAAACACCTCCCCCATAAGACGTCATGGCAGTTCTTAGATAATAGAGAAAACAGTGAAAAGCCATGATCAGATAAGTCCTCAAGGGAAATAACATTATAAAAGCTAGATTATATATATATATATATATATATATATATATTATTTTTCAACCTTTGGAAGTAAAGTCTGATGATCCGCAGTCCTTTAAAAGGGCTGTGGTGAAATAACTTTTTTCATGGAACCTTAAAGTGGTCAGTTTTTAGTTAAATTATTTGCTCTGGATTTACATTGAGCTCTCTGGATGTTATCCTCCTTGGGTTTACCCATACGGATTACCTAGTTTTTCATAAACTATATATATATATATATATATATATATATATATATATACAAGTATAGGATTGGTGTATACGGAATAAATTCCAATAACCAAAAGAACTATTCTTAAAATAGTGCTCAATACAAAGTAGGACAAATATAATTTATTCGAAAATTATAATATAAATGTTTTAAAATCATTACAAAAATAGTCATTTTGTTTCAACACTTCTGGTGTCTTTTCAAGTGATGGTTTTGAATATAAAATTGAGACTCTTTATTCTACATTCTACCGCATCACTTGATAAGACACCAGAAGTATTGAAACAAAATGGCTATTTTTGTAGTGATCTTATAACATATTTATGTTATAATTTTCGAATATATATATATGTATATATATGTGCGTGTGTGTGTATGTGTGTCTAAATGTATTAAATTACTTGAAAGTGAGTTGTAATGTACACTGATGTAAGTGCACCAATACAGAGAGACCTAGGCCTGTTTGATGTTTATATATAACTCTATAGAAATCGTGTTGTCATGGAGTAATATATATTGGTGTGTACGTTTTTACATAATCATTGCCAGGAGGTTTGAGTTGAATTCTGTAGAGTGCTTTTCTGACGGACTCTCGTTTGATTTTACCCGCTGAGTTGGGCGAAACCGGTCGGTGAAGGCTTCTAAAGGTGAGTTTCCGGGCTTGCTAAATAAAGAAGGCTTTTTACTTCAGACATGTTAGTTTTATTCGATTCACGCTTCTTGTCGGCCGTACTCTCAGGGGATGTGCGTACAGACATATAGCATCGGAACTTATTATACATTAAACCTATCAAAACAAAGACTCATTATATTAGTAACTGTTCATTATCTATCTATCTATCTATCTATCTATCTATCTATCTATCTTCGTGTCCTTCATTATCTATCTATCTATTTATCTATCTATCTATCTATCTATCTATCTATCTATCTATCTATCTGAGATGAGTTGCTGTAACTATTTCCATCGTTCAGTTGTTGACCTCATCATTATTGCTATATCCACAACGTTTCGACCATTTTACGAACCGGCCTTCTTCAGGATCCGTCTACGGTTCTGAGACGAAGTGTTGTAACTGTTTACATTATTTACTTCGTTTGGACTGTTGTCTTCGTCTTTATTGCCATATTCACAACATTTCGACCATCTTATGCTCCAGCCTTCTTCAGGATCTGTGAACATTTCTGAGACGAGGTATTTAACTATTTACATTATTTACTTAGTTTGGACTGTTGTCATCGTCTTTATTGCCATATTCACAACGTTTCGACCATTTTATGCTCCAGCCTTCTTCAGGGTCTATCTATATTTCTGAGATGAGGTACTGTAACTATTTACATCGTTCGAACTATCTCCTCCATCTTTATTGCCATATTCACAACTTTTCGACTATTTTATGCTGCTGTCTTCTTCGGGATCTGTCTACATTTCTGAGATGAGGTACTGTAACTATTTGAACTATTTATATGTTCGGGCTGTTGCCCTCATTTTTATTGTCATATTCATGACGTTTCATCCGTTGTAATCTACGGCCTTCTTCTGTATCTGTCTGTATTTCTGAGATGAGGTATTGTAATTATTTACACTATTTACATTGTTCGGACTGTTGTCCTCATCTTCGTTGCCATATTCACGACGTTTAGACCGTTGTACACTCCGGCCTTCTTCTATATCTGTCTATATTTCTGAGATGAGGTATTGTAATTATTTACACTATTTGCATTGTTCGGACTGTTGTTCTCATCTTCGTTGCCATATTCACGACGTTTGGACCGTTGTACGCTCCGACATTTTTGAGATGATATAAGTTAAAATTTCGAACAGAACTCCTTATTTATTCTACCGAGGTAGATTGTTCTCGTTCCACGTGCCATGCCTTTATGAACATCCTAGTTTCAATTAATTCCCTGTAGTAACTCAACTCACTAAGTTTTTGCTCCCTTTGCTGTGGCCAGGTATTGAACTCACAACACTTTAGGTCATGTCAATATTTGGATTAATTCAACCAA